TTGTGACTTTAAAATCATTTTGTTGAAACTAAAAAAGAAATTTCTGTTTCTCTCTTGTTGATAAGAGGTTAAATTAGCCAGATTGTGATAAAAAGGCAATAAAAAACAAGATGCAATAAACTGGTGTTAAAATAATAACAGCCTGATTGTACTTTTAATTTAAATTCCAAGAATTTTCACTGATTCTGGTGGGCAAGTTTTTCATCAGCTTATTGCCACTTTTTATTGCACCATTCAAGTTTGAGTAATCTGAAAACATTCCAAAAGCAACAATAAGACACAGAGGAACTTTAAATCCAATAATGTTTATCAATCTTTTATAAAGCATTATTGAAAACTTTTGACTCATTAATATTTATGTATTTGATGTAGACATATATGGAAAATATCTTCATATCAGGATTGATTTGTTATTTTATGGTTTATCAACCCTTTGTGGGCTATTTAAAGCCAAAACATATTTCAGATTGTAGGAACAGTATCCAGTGTTCCCAAACAGTTCACCACATAAGTACTGACCAGGGTTGATGCCGTTTAATTGAGTCCTTTTCTATATGTTACTAACCCTTTGCAGTTATTTAAAGCTAGAAAATATTTTTAGATTGTAAGAATTTTGGGGGAAATAATAACGGTTTAGTGATACGAGTCTTACTAATTAACCCATAGCTGGGAGGAGAAGAGGTGAAGTCATATCTCTCCCAATAGTATTTGCGAGTAAGTGAATATAACAGACTCAACAGGAATTGGAACTTGCCTCTCCAATTAACAAGTGGATGTTTTAGTTTAACAGCATATCAACCTCTATGCTGAAATGTAAATATTTTTTTACACAATTTTATTTTATTTTTTGAGATAATAATAGTTTTAGTGATAAAAGTGTTACTAATTAACCTATAGCTGGTGGGAGAAGAGGTGGATTCATACCGTTTCCCAAAGGTTTTTGCATGTAAGTGAATATAACGAACCCAACTGGAATTGAAACTCAAAGCCATTCTCCATTACACCACCCACACATCTAAGTTTACAACACTTGATATTCCCAAACAGTCATGCATCTAGGCTTAACATTGCTTAACTTTGGTGATCAAATAGGGATTGGTGATTTCAGCCTGATTTTAGTAATAATAATCTTATAAGAAAACAGAATAATAAATCAGGTTATTACATAATAAAATATCATTTTGGAAAAAGGATTTATTCTATCATTCTTACACAGAATACAGATCATAACCTTTACACACCCAGACTAATGTTATTGTTTTTAGCATCCTTTATTTTTTTCCCAATGGTCCAAGATTTTTTATACTAAATTTTCCAATCTCCTAACATCCCAGTTAAGTGCTACACCTTTGCCTAAAGATAATATTTGGCAAGATTTTCAATTTTTCTTTTTTCCTATTTACATTATTATTCTTTTTGTTTTCTTTGTTATTAAATAACACACACACATATATATATCGTCCGACGTTGACATATTAACATTAAAACAGCATAATTGCATATAAGGATTTTTGTTTGTTTTTTCTGTATATATTTTTCTTCATATATATATATATATATATATATATATATACATGTGTTATTTTTTTCAATCATTTTATCCCAAGCAAGGCAATAAAAGCTTAAAAAATTTAAAAGAATTAATGGATTTATTTTTAATCCAACATTTTTATTAATTTAGAGGTTATATTATTTCATTAAAAGGGAAAATAGAAACTTTCTGAACTATGACTCTCTCTGCAGCCAATTGTTAAAGCATACCAAATCAAATAGTGGTTTCTCCTACAAATGAGGATACAGGTTCGATCCCTAGCAGAGAGCACACTAAAAACATAGCATTTATTTCAAATATGAGTATCCACTATAGTAACCATTGACGTACATATATATTTTTTTGTTTATACATTATTTTAATAGATACAATTTATTTAAGTAAATACTCTGTTTTTTAAATAAACTGTTGGAAAACACATGTTTACTATGAAATTTTCTCAAACATTCAGGCCGGTAAACGGAATTAATACTGTTTATTTAAAAAACAGAGTATTTACTTAAATAAATTGTATCGATTAAAATAACGTCTAAACAAAAAATATATTAAATAATTGTCGGACAATCCATTTCATAATATACACACACACACATTATTATTATTATTAAAATAAAATTAAAGAAAAAAATAATAATTACAAATTACAAATAACACTTCTCAGACATGGAAGATAATTCTTCAGAAAGTATTCAAAATGTCATTCAGAAGCAATATGATTCAAGCTTTCGATTTTCTTAAGTCATACTCAGAATATATATATATATATATATATATATATATATATATATATAAAAACACAATAAAATCCCAAATCGCCTCATATGGGGAATAAGCTTATTTCAACTGATGAAAATATCATTCGTCAGTCTTATTCAACCCCAGAATAAACTGAGTTCTGAACTCAGTCTATACCTGAGTTGACTAAGATTGACGAATTATATTTTTGCATCTCGAAGTAAGTTTATTCCCCATATGAGGTGATTTGGGATTTTATTGTGTATTAATTTTTGCTCTGTAATAATAAATACATTGAGCCCTTTTTGTGGATCAATTTTAACATTTTATATTACTAGAATTCACTTGGATTATATACCAATGGATTTATTACCTTTACTATACATACATACATATATATATATATATATATATATATATATATATATATTTCATTAAAGACTACTGATAAGGTACTGAAATTAAGTTTTTTATTCAATTTTTCTTATAAGTGTTTTCTTTTTGGGACATAAATTGTGTAAAACTATCCAAATGTTCTATGCATTTGAGTGCTTTTGGCTATTTTATTAGCCATTATCAAAAAATTATTATTAATGTAAGCATTACTAATAAAAATGTAAAAGCCAGTACTCAATAATATCAACTATGAATATGCCCACAATGTACTGATGTGTTTAGAAAATAAAAAAAAAACATTTGCATCACTATAAATATACATACATAAAAAACTACATATTCAGTTAAAAATAAAAATTTAAAAAAAAAACATACTAATAGACTAGCCAAAAGCACTTGGATATAAAGAACATTTGGGCATCTATTACACACTTTATGTCCAGAAAATGAAACACTTATATGAATGCAAGAAAAATTGAATAAAAATCATAATCGCAGTAACTTGTCAGTCATCTTTAATTAAACTTGTATAAAAGAGGGATTGCTACATACACAAACATATACAAGATGTATCAAAAATATTTTTACAAACTTTGGGGGTGGGTTCCTGACACCAAAACAAATTAAAATGTCCATATAAACATATGTCCAAAAGGCCATCGTTGTACCTCAACTCAGAAACTCATAACAAATATTTAAAATATCCTTCACTTGTTTGTACACATGCATGCACATGTTGAATACTTAACTGGTGGACTCTTTCAAATACTCCCCCACGATGTCAAATGGTTTCACAAGCCCCCATGACACATTGATGAAGTATCTCTGCATTATTAATGTTTGCTGCATAAACCAATTGTTTTAGGTGGCCCCACAGATAAAAATCCAAAGGATTGAGGTATGGGGAACATGCAGGCCATGGAACCAGTCCTCCCCTACCTATTGATCTTTCATGGTAGATGTCAGCCAGTGCATCACAAATAATGTGACTAAAATGTGCTGGAGCCTCATCATGCATGAATCACATGCATCTTCATATTAGCAGGGGTACATTCTCTAGCAGGTCTGGAAGTGTGTTCAAAATAAAGTCCCTGCAGACAGCTCCATTAAAACATGTTAGGAGGACAAATGGACCTACCAGACAGTCACCTGCAATTCCAGCCCACACATTAATCATAAACTGATGCTGGTGTCTAGCCTGTATTGTACCATGGGGATTCTGATCCCTGCACAAATGTTGGTTGTGTAAATTTGTTATTCCATCTCTTCCAAATGCTGTAAACAAGACTGGAGAGACAAACAACGGATCAGTTGTTTGTGCAATAAACCATCAACAAAAGTTCTTTGGTTGTGAGTGATCAGAGGGCAAAAGACCCAGTGCACATTGCAAATGATCCAGATACAGGAGCTGCTCTTGAAGTATCCTCCATGTGGCACTATGAGATGTCCAACATGCTAGAACCACTTGACATGTGCAGATACCTGGATGATAAACAGCAGCAAAGGTTGGATCACTCAGCTGCCTTCAGTCTAGAAATGCAATCTGATACAGCCATGTAGCCTTGCGTCCATTACCATTCGTGTGGACATATGTAAAAATCATATCTGCCTGCTCATGATATGAATATCCTGCAATTTGTTAAATGGAACACTTCTTAGTTCACTCACTACTACACACATTAAAAGTTGAAGACAGACTAGCCAAAAATGTACACGAATGACAAATGTAACCTAGTCTACATGGCAATACAGCAACATCTGCCATAAACTTTCTTTAAACTTAACTCAAAAATGAAGGATTTGTAGACATATGTTTATAGGAACTTTTGTTTTGGTGTGAGGAATCTACTCCCAAAGTTTGTAAAAGTGTTTTTTTATACACCTTGTATATAAATTTTAAAAATTGCTATATATTATTTGTGATAATTTTATTATAATAATTAATTTTACATAAAAAAAAGGCGATAACACCAAAGGAATTAAAGTCAACAGCTTGCACTTCTTTGAAAAGTTTTTTATTTTTTTTATTTTCATTGACCTCAAAATGAGTACAGTGCTGCTAGAAGTTTTAAATAAGGCAATATATACAAAGTAACGCATCAGCCTTTAAATAATAAAAACAAAAAAAATGTTATAAATGATATGGGGAACAAATTTATCTAAGTATGAATTTGTATTTGTATGAGTTTGTTTTTTAAAGAAACAGATGACTGCTGTGTTAGAAAGCTGAGCAGAAATGGATAGAATAAAAAAAAGGTTCAAATACAATATTTTCAAAATGGATATGACAGAAGGAAAATGTTATAGAGTGTCAGGTTCAGAAAGGGGAATGGCAAAGAGGGCATGTCTGTCGCTGCAGAATCTCAGATTCATATGCCCTGTGCTTACAGTGATTGCACATCCAGTAATGATAGTCAAGAATGGTGCGGCCACTTACAATACATGGCGGATATTTTGCATCACAACTGGCACAAATGCTTGCCCTACAAAAGAAATTGACAAACATTAGAATGTTATATACTGCACATCAACACAAACACACATATATACACACAGACACACACACCATATATTTCTATGTATAAGACAACCTTTAAATCCCCAAAATTATCATTAAAAATTAGGGGCGATCTTATACTACAATTCTAAAAAAAAGGAACCTTAAATTCTGAGTGATGTTTGTCGATAGGCTAACCTCAGCCTCATTCTGGTAACCAATAAAGTACTTAAAAAGATTCACATTATCAAATAAACTGATAGTAAAAATAGTAAAACTATTTCTACCTTATATATTACTGGCATAACTTCATAATAAATTGCCTATTTGAAGAATTATTCCATATCAATGAAATCAACATATATCCATACAAGCTTGTGTTATCAAGAGGAATTAACTAAAACTGAGATATTCAAAGTATGGCATGTAAAATTAGAAAAATCTTCTCCTACCAATGACTAAATAAAGAGTTCAGTTCAAAATTCCAACAAATATCACCTGAAGAAGGCTGGAGTGTACAATGGTCGAAATATCATGAATCTGTCAATAAAGATAAGGACAACTGTCTGAACAATGTAAATAGTGTAAATCGTTACAATATCTCATCTCAGAAATATAGACAGATAAATGATATATCTATAATATTTTGAATGGGTTGTTTGAAAACTTTATGGTACTAATGCTGTGACAATGTTCCCTCCTACTAACAGAGGACTAAAGAAAGAGAAATCTAACAATCCTATTTTTACTTTAATTCCAGAAGAAACAGAAAAAAGCCAGAGATGTTCACAATTAGGTTTCATGTGTATCTGTATATAAACCAGAAAAACAAAAACAAAAAAAAATGCCTACTTGCCATTCAAATAAATGAGGTGATCAGAATTCAAGTTTGATTTGCATTTAACAAACTGTTAATTTCTGATGAAATATTTTTGTGCTGTCTCTTGTCTTTTAAAAAGACCTCATCCAATTTCAGGTTCTTATCTATTAATTGGTCTGAGTTGCTTCCAGTCAAGTGAAAACTAATTATGCTAATGGGTTTTAATGTCTAATGCCTAGTTTCTATTTTCTCTCTTTCTCATAACAGGAACTTTATGAACCTGGCCTCTGTCTGCTTTGGTGCATTTTTAAATATAAACATTTACTGCTATAAGAATGATTTATTTTCATTATAGTAATAAATGTAACTCTATGGTACATCACCTTCTGACTGTTGGACATGATTCTATGCGAAAACAAGTTCTTGAAGAAGAAAAAGAAATGAAGGTTGAGTACATCGAAAAGAAACTGCGTGACAATGAAAAGACGATCAAATGGTATTCAAAATATGAAACATTACAAAGCAACTCTGATCTAAAATTTAATAAATCAGAATAAACACCTTTCAATATGAAGTCTTTACTCACTGTGCACACACACACACACACACACACATATTATATATATATATATATAAGTTAAAAGTTAAAGTTAAAAGCTCTACATGTTATTTTTATTTTATTTTTGTCACACGTGTATTGAGCACTTTTTAATACTACTGTTTCCTGGTTTGATTCAACTCTAACCATTAAACTTTTATATATATATATATATATATATATATATATATATATATATATATATGAAGTGGACACTGAAGTCAACACCCAGCGGTGACATTTTGTTTCATGCTTACACACAATCATCAGGCCATAGGTATTATTATTGTTTTGCCAATTGTGTATAAGCATGAAACAGACTGTCACTGCTGAGTTTTGACTTCAATATCGTACTTTCTATTTACATATGCCATATCCCCGACATTGAGCACTTTAACCCATAAATATAGCATACCTTAAAACTATATTTATCATATATATATCAGTACCACATAATCTACAATTTATATGTATATAAAACAACTCCATTCATTAAACCTCTACTTTCAGTGGCACTTGGGCCTTATATTGGGTAAACAATAACATAAAAAAAGAGCTGCAGCTATCACTGAGGATAATTTAATTATCTACTCTCTGTTGGGTATTGGTACTACCATTCTGAAATTTGCAGTATTCCAAATCCCAAAGGTGAGGATAAAACATCAGGTAGCTGTAGTATATAGAAGTGTAGATTTGGCTTAAAGGCTAACAGCACGGAAAATGAGAAGTAGGAAAAAAAACGACAGTGTCTTACCAATCAGGCATACTTGATGCACAACTTGGACAATCCACTTGATTAGATTTTGAATCCTTTGGACTGTGCCTACAATAAAACATTCAGAAAATTAAAGAAAATACAAACACTAAATAAGAAAGATCTTTTTATTTGAATGTTTAACGACTTACTTGAACTAATATCCCCGTCTTTAAGATTTGGTTCTTTATTGTGTTACTTTGATCTGCATTCCTCAATAAATCCAGTTGCTCTCTTATAACAATTACAAATCATAACAAGATATAATTAATGACTAATATCCTCATCTCTTTTGTTATTATCATAATGTTCCAGCAGCTGTTCCTTCTAGTCTCCTTCAGTCCATGGTCTAGAAGATTAATGCATTGGGTCATTAATTTGATGAAATACAGACTCAAACTCCATGAAAACAAGACTAGCAATAACGGAGCAGTATTTTAAAAAAGGAATGAGATGAGATGTCCCTATACATAGCAGTGGAGTCAGAAGAATCTATTCCTGTAGATTAAATAAAAGTGCAGTTAGAAATTCCCTTAAAGTGACCTGAATCAGCAGATACCCGAAGAAGGCCAGACGGTACAACAGCCAAAATGTTGTGATAATAACAACAAAGATGAGGATATTAGTCTGACTGTAAATAATATAAATAAGGATAATACTTTATCCAACAAATTCAGACAAAAAACATCATTCTTCATATATATATATATATATATATATATATATATATATATATGTGTGTGTGTGTGTGTGTGTGTGTATATATATACACTACTTGCACCCCTGAAGATGATCTTTGAAGAAGATTGAAAGTGCTTGGGAAATAAAAATAAAAGAAATTTAAACAGCTATAGCACATTTCTCTCATTCTTTAATATCAATACACGGAAGGTTATTCGTGAGTATGAACAGATTTTGTTAAAAATTAGCAGACATAATGTGTGTTATTTATTCAATCAGACATGCCTAAAAGAGAATTTGCCTACACACACACACACACACACACACACACACACACATACACATATATATATATATATATATATATATGATGATATGATATGATGATATATATATAAACCATAACAATCTAATCAAAATTTAAACAATATTTATTTATTAAATTACCAGACTTTGAATTATGGCACTTTGTATCCTCCATATGTTTTGACTGACCGTTCAACCACCTGATGAATATTCATGAGCATTCTTAAATTTAAAAGCCTTGTAAAACCAATGGCATCCTTGCTCTTGTATATAAACACATGCAATAAAATAAATCCTACATATGCCTTAATAAAGTCCCTCAGATTATGAAATGTATTGGTTAAGAATAGTTTTCCTCTTGTCTTTTTATTCATTTATATATATTTATATATATATATATATATATATATATATATATAATATATATATATAATTAAAGCAAAAAGTGGTCCAGGTAGGCTTATTATACATACACATTTATTTCTAAAGAAAATAATGAATATTTATTTAACCAACAGATTTTTAGCACTTTAAACATTATTTTTAGTGGATACTCATATTTGAATAGGTGTTCCATTTATCTATTAAACAGTATATTTATTTATTTTCATCTACCAGTCTCAATGTTTGAGAAATATTATCAAATAAAAATTTGACGTTTTTCTTTTAATAATTTTTAACATGATAAAATATATATATATATATATATATATATATATATATATATATATATATATATAATATATATAAAACTGTATACAAGTATGTGTCATCAACAATCATACCCAATAAATAAAAATGGGAGAATTAAAAAGAAAACTATGCAGCTTAAAGAACAGTTTTTTTTTAAATTTTGATAAAGGCTATTAATTCATTCTTAAGTTAATTTCACAACGAACAATGAATGTATTTAAAAAAAAGAAATATAGAGATATTCAAAATACAGACGGTTATTAGTATATTAGTTATAACACAGAAAGTGGAATTGGTGTGTCAAATTTAAATTCCGACCAAGGCTATTGCATTCTCTTTTGCCCAAATACCTTTGAGTAAGATATGAATCCATCTTTTCTCCCCCACAACTTGGGGATAATAACAGAGCAGACTTGGTTCTCTGGCTTTGGCTGGCAACATGTCCAGGAGAAGGACAACTCTGAATTCAAAACCACTTGTTTATGGGTTTAAATAGCTCCACCCCATGAAAAACCTACTTGTTACAGAAACCACATCAGTAACACCTATGTATGTTGAGGTTGTAGGCCTACACAAGTGAATCTACAGGGTTAACAAAAAACATACATCCATAATCAATAAGAATGCAAAAATATTCTGTAATGGTAATATTAACCATTTCCTTATAAGGAAAGATTTGGTATTCATTAACTGAGCAGCCAGTGCTATCATTGGTTGAAATTTCCAAAATCTTTCTATTAAAACAGCTTTTTTAGGAAAATAGATTTCTCAAGTCCAGTAACTGTTATCACTCTTTCCAATATTGATGAGGGAGGGGGCTTCCTTTCTAACATTTGGTTTGAAGTAGTTTGGAATGTTAACATCTTAAGTTATTATTTTCTTCTCAAATTATGTGCTATCCATGTTAGTTGTTGTTGCTGTTAAAAGTCCTCAAGTGATGTGGTTTCTGCCATTTGCTGCAGTTCTTTGTTAGTGATTCTATAGTGATTCTATAACAACAGTCCATAGTGATTCTATAACAACAGTCCATAGTGATTCTATAACAACAGTCCATAGTGGATCTATAGCACCAGTCTACAAGGTTCAGAGAAAAGTGGCCCTTACTAAGGACTACAGGCTTCATTTGCTCAAATTCATTTTTAATCATTGATCTGAGAAAGCAGACAGTCTAGATATTTCTGAATGGGTTTGGTACCATGTATGACATGATGTAAATCTTGATTCTTTATTAATGGCTGTACACAGAGAGACATTGGCTCCCTTATGATCACTGAAGTCAAGCAACGTTAAGCCTGGTCAGTACCTAGATGGATGATGGCTTGGAAATACCAGGTATTGTTAGCTTGGATGTGCGGGTGGTGTAATGTCTTATGGCTCAGAATTGTTAATCAGAGAGCTGAGTTCCAATTCCAGTTGGGTTCATTATATTCACTTACACGCATCTAACATTTGGAAACGTATGAATCCACCTCTTCTTCCCCCAGCTATGGGTTACTTAGAAATGACTTGCATCAGTAAACCATTATTATTTCGAAAATAAGATAAAATTGCATACAAAATATTTTGATTCTGGCATAAAATAATCTGCAAATGGTTGATATGCTGCTAAACAAAAACGACCAGATAGGTCTGCATGTGTATGTGTGCTGTCAAGTATGTGTATGTGTGCTGTCAAGTATGTGTATGTGTGCTGTCAAGTATGTGTATGTGTGCTGTCAAGTATGTGTATGTGTGCTGTCAAGTATGTGTATGTGATAGGTCAGTGTGTGTGTATATGATTGTTCTGATTTGTCTGTTTCTGTTGTAAAAGCTATAAAACTGCTGAATCATTTTCCACAAATCTTTTATGTTTAACTTGACTCTGACACTACTGACTTCTTTATTAGATCAAATTGTGTCAAGCAACTCTCCTTTTGTTGTTAAAATAGTCATAACAAAAATGACTAGTCTTTGTTGGCTTTTTTATATGCTGCCGCAGCCACCAGCAAATAAATCAATGGGGCACATTTTTGCCTGCATTCACACGCCCTAAAGATCAAAGAATTGGGTATCAAATGTTTTACTGCATCAGCCACCCACAATCACTTGACACCATGGTCTCCAGTAAGTAAAACAAAGTATAATAATAGGAAGGTGATTTACAAGCAAACAAGTTTATTCTTTTATTGCCTCTTAAGAAAATTGCACACAAAAATGGGTGATAATTTCACACAGATACCAATTTCCAGTTAAATAATGGAAGGAATGTTTATATATAAGCCAAGTCTCTCTCTCTCTCTCTCTCTCTCTCACACACACACACACACACGCACACACTATTTTGTGTGTGTATGCGTGTGTGTGGCTACTTATGCATAGGTCAATATCAATAAGTCTTCAACCTAATAATGAAAAGAAGCATTTATTTTGCAAAATGAATATTTCTCAACATGCTTCCAAAAAGATTCAACTTTGTATCAAGAAAGGAAGACAGTGAGTGGGGCTTTTCAATAGATCACAGAGATTAAACGTTATACAGTGAAAATTTCAGATCAAAATTTAACTTCTAACAATGCCAGGCTACAAAATTATCAAGACACACTTCGGGATATTACATATACCACAGATTATATTTTTATGTAATAAAGTGCACTCAGTATAAAGCTCAAGGAGCACTCATAGTCATATATATATATATATATATATATATATATATATATATATATATGTATAATTTGTGTATTTAGGCAGCAATCCTTCTTTCATGCACATTTCATTGATTCGACAGACAAGGTGCTTTGATTTTAATTAAATCAAAGCACCTTGTTTATCATATTCAATGAAGTGTGCCTGTGTGTGTATGCAAAAATTTCAGATAGAGAATATTTTCAAATGTAAAAAATGGACAAAGACGAAAGAAAAACTTATCTTAGCCAACGCATTTTGTCCTCTGGGAGACTTTATCAAGGCAAATATAAGAATTTTATTTTGTGACAAGTATTTATATACAAGAGTATTTACATACAAGACAAGTATTTATATACAAGTGCAAAAAATTGCTCTTATACATAAATACTTGTCACCCAATAAAATCCTTGCATTTGCCTTGATAAAGTACCTAAGAGGATGAAACACATTGGTTAAGATAAGTTTTCCTTTTGTCTTTATTCATATTGTCCTTTTACATATATAGTCTATCTGAAATTTTTACATGGGGGTCATATCTGTAAAAAATATTTGATGAATATAACATGAGTGTATGAGTGTCCATAATATATCTTATTCATATAAGCAATTAAAGGTTTTCTAATTAAATAATGTCTTAGTTTTATCGCACTTTTTATTTTATGATTCAAAGCAGATTTTGTATAACTGGTGTCCTGTTTAAAAAAAAATGATGATTTAAATTCTCCACAGACTTGTGCTTATAACTAATATAAGCATTAAACCATACAAAAATTAATTTCTCAAAATTTCATAAAATTAAATAAATGATGGGGGTAACAGATGTAAAAAAAATATTTTTGCCAAGATTTTCTAAAACAGAAATGTTTCAAAAATAATTTCATTCATTTGTGAATAAGGCCTGAAAGTTGTATTAAAATCTGACAATTATTTGATTTTTGCAAGCATTTCCAAATCAATGTGCTTTTCACTACAAAAACACTAAAATTTCTTATACTAATGGATGCAAAAAAAAAAAATTACTCAAAATTTTGAAGGTTCTGAATAATCAAAAATTCTTTAGTCTTTTCTCTTAATAATAACAAAGATTTTGACAATAAAACTTGTTTTGATTAAGTTTGGGGCATTTTAGTGAATCTTTGGAAATACCTATATATATATATATATATATATATATATATATATATATATATATATGCACACACATGAACAGGGAAGTATTGATTAAGATGAGGTTTAAAGACCTACACCAGATTTAGATACCTGCCCATAGGCTTGAATTCAATTTTATGAATATCTAGACAAAAATTTACTACATTTAATCTGCTTCTTTAATGTTAACATTGAAGTATTTTTCTGGGGGTATAAAATTTTATGATTGCAATAAAAATGGACATAATAAAAATATTACAAAGAGCAAGGAAAAAGAAAAAAAAATATGCTGACCATAAATTACTATTGTGCACAGTTTCTTTTATTCCTTGAATGCTTTGAAGATTGAGGAACGATAACCCTCAACATTTTTTTGAGTGGGGGGGGTGCTACTTGACCGTAATTATATATTTTTTCTTTCTCCCCCGCTCTTCATTTCCATATTTTTTTAATCTGTTCATTTTTACTGCCATCGGAATGTTAACATTCTATATTACAATGTGAAGTTTTATGTCACTCAGATGCTAAATGTCAAAGAAACAATCTTTACCTGATTGTTTTTGCTGAGCCCAGCTTGAACAATAGACAAGTTTAGAGAATAAATATGCATTTACAAGCTTAGTTGGATACAACAGATAAGAAAGTCATTCTGATTACATGAAAACACGTCAACATCTGACTCCTCTCTGTTTATGCAAGATACACATGTAAAGGCATTATGATAACATGAAAACATCTCTCTATATCTCAGAAATGAGCTATCATGATTATTTACATTATTTACATTATTCGGACACATGGCCCAGCGGATAAAGACATTGATTAGATCCAATGACTAGACCCAAAGAGTTGTGAGTTCCATACCAGGCTACAGCAGTGGTGAAGCAAAAAACTTGGAGAGTTGAGTTAAAGGAAAATAACTGAGACATCTGGAAGAGGCATGGTGTGTGGAACTAGAACAATCTATCCCGGTGAATGAAATAAAGGGTTTGGTTTGAAATTCCAATCACCTGAAGAAGGCCAGAGCATTGTGAATATGGCAATGAGGATAAGGATAACAGTCCAAATAATGTAAATAACATGAAAACACCCCAACATCCAACTCTTCTTTGTTTATGTATTTATGCAAAATACACAAAAGCATTCTGATTACATGAAAACACCCCAAAAATTGACTCTTCTTTTTTTACATATTTATACAAGATACACTTTCTATGCCCCTGAATATGTCTGAAAATCCAATACTGAAATTACCTGGCAAAAGTATAAATGGACAATTCCTCACACTTTATCTTATATTCATCAGGCTTCTTTAAATGAAACAGTAGGTTCATATGGCTCTCCTTAGGCTGAATTCAAAATTTAAATTTATTTGCAAAGTGGTAATTTTTGATTGGTTAGCAACAATACACCCTTGGTTGATGAAAACCAATAAAAGCTGTTAATTTGCTAATGTGAATTTTGATATTGTGTAAAATACAGCCAGGTTCAGCTTAAAGAATTTATGCATACAAGAATGCATCAATAAGTGTGCAGCTTGACATGTAGCAGAATTTTGATCTGAAATGTTCCCTGTATAATGTTCTATCTCTGTTGTTAATTCACCACACTGGCAATAAAGGAGATTATGTTGAGAAATAAATATTTGTTGCGTCAGATTTTTCTTTTACAATGACATTCACCCTGTACATGGCCCAAAAGGGTTACATAATAAGTGGCACCAACCCAAGCAAGGTGATAATGCCACCAAGATGCAAGGAGCCACTACTGGAAGAGAAAGAGAAGGAAAAGACTTTAGAAGGAACTGGAAACCCAATCCTAAACAGAAAACAAGGGATAAATGCTATTTTTAATCAGTAAGGTATGGATTGATTGATATAACTATATATAGTTATATGTATGAAAGTAATGAAGAGAGAAGGTAATTAAGAAAAATTTCAGGGGCTAAATAATCAATTTGTGGGTTTCACGTGCAAAGATGCATGTATTAAGAAAATCAGATAAAAACATTTTTAATGTTGTATTTATGTTTATATAAATATTTCTTTTCATATTTATTTATTATTATATAATATATTGTAATATAATTTATATTTTATTATATAATATATAATTATATAATAAAAATATAAAATATATGAAAATATTATATTTATTTTTAATAATATATATTTATTATCATTTAATACATAGTAAAATATAAAATATATAACAATGTAATATATATATTAAATATATATTTATTATTATATAATATATAAATAATCATTTATCATATAAAATATATATTTTATATATAAAATATAAATGTATATATATTTATTCTTATATAATATATATTTTATATTTATTCATTATTACATAAGTTTTATATATAAATGCATGAAATGTGTGTGTATATGTACAAGTTATATAAAGGAAGTGCAAAGTTTATGTTATGTTACTTTAGGCTGTTATATGTATAAACCATTGAATATATGTATGGAGCCATGTATTCATACTGTAACAAAACAAATGCAAATGTGTATGTGGATAATCACAAAGGAATTACCTGGTAAAAATTTCAAAGGCCAGATCCTCAAATTGTTGCTTCTGAGCAGGTTCCAAACTTTCAAGGGATTCTAATTTGATAAATGCTTTTGAACATGTCCCAAAAGCTCGATTTGCACACGCTGCTAATGCTGCAAGAAATGGATAAAGCATGACTTATTCATTTTAAAAACACCAAAATTCCATCTGTCAAAAAACTATACAAGCTGATACAATCATATATAAAAAGCAATACATACATACATACATGCATACATATATATATATATATATATATATATATATATATAATTGTGTATTTGGGCAGCAATCCCACAAGTTTCATTAAAAACGACTGATAAAGTATTGTGGTTAAGTTTTTTATTTAATTTTTCTTATATTCTTATAATTTTCTTCTTTTTTGGACATAAGTTATGTAGAAATTGTCTAAATGTTTATTCAGCTATACTTTTAGCCATTATCAAGGATGATTTTATTTTTACATTTAACTGAATGTATGGATTGTTTTATGCATGTATCTAGAGTTATAGGAATTTTTTATTTATTCATAGTTGATGTTATTGTGTTGGCTTCTTTTTTATTAATAATGCTTCCATCATTTTAAGCCTTTTTTACATGTGGATGAGGCAATTATATTTGAATGGTCAACTAGTATATTGCAGATAAAGCTTGGTAGGTCTCCATGTGTATTTATTTAAATGAGACCTAATTGAGCTATGGTCAGAGAGATGTAACATGAGTGTTCTTGCTAGGCATGTTGTAGTATATCCAATATAATTATTTATGAATTTGGTTTGGTAGGAACACAATTACTTAAGGGACATGTGAATTTGTAAATGATATATATATATATACATATATATATAGAGAGAGAGAGAGATATAGAAGGAATGATATATATATATATATATATATATATATATATATATATATATATATATATATATATATGTATGTGTATGTGTGTGTGTATGTGTGCATATATAGGAGGCAGGGTGAAGTAGTGTATAAGCAGCTCGGATTAAGGAATCGGAAAGTTGAGTTCAAATTCTAGTCAAATACATTACATTCACTTAGGTATTAATCCTCCTCTTCTCTTTCCATCTATGGGTAAATAGCAGGAAAGACTGGTTTATATAGCCTTGGATGGCAACTGGTCTAGGAGAAGGACAACTCTGCATTCAAAACCTGCAGAGGATCATTTGAGGACCTTGTGGCATGCAGTGCACCAGGTCTCTGTCTTCAACCCTTCAAAAAGTGTGGTCGGTTGTACACAAAGTCTTCACCACTATAATCAAATCGTATGTGCTGGTGTCTGGGCTGTCGGTTCCTAGGAACTGAGCTGCTTGACCCTCATTTGTCAAATACAATAGGGGAGTTCACAATCATATATATATATATATATATATATAATTATTTATTTAAAAATGATTCCATGATTCCAACTCGTGACATAAGAGATCTCATGTTTCAAAACAAGAGCCGAAAACTTCAATATTATTATTTGAATTAAATTGAGTTAAAGTAAGCTCTGTTCCATCTTCAAGCAAAAAATGTTACAGCAGTTTTTTATATGCACAAATCCCTTTCATCATAAAAAAATAAAATAAAAAATAAAAAATCTCCATAAATCATACCAGACTAGAGGGTGAATACATCTTCCGTTTTCAAATTTAGACACCCCCCACCTTTCCCTGACTTGACATCTATGAAAGTAACTCTATACTGATACTTATTATTAACACCCAACACATGCCTACCCAATTTAAACAATTTGCCCGAGCTGTTACCATGGAAATTTTGATTTTTGGTTTAAATTATTAAAACACGTAAATTTCAGAAATACGTTATTCCAAAAAAATTTTGCTTGAAGATGGAACAGAGCTTATTTTTACTCAATTTAATTCTAATAATTATATTGAAGTTTTCAGCTCTTGTTTTGAAACATGAGACCTCTTATGTCCTTGAGTTGGAATCATATTTTTAAATAAATAATTATATTTATACTCTACTTTTATATCGAGCACTATTTTTTAAAAATAATAACGAAAATACTAAGGAACTTTGGATTATTTACCTAACCAGTTCCTTCTATTTTCTATATATTTTCACATATATATATATATATATATATATATATATATATATAAAGAGAAAGAGAGAGAGCAAAGATATATATATATATATATATATATATATATATATATATATATATATACACCTTATAGGGGGCAATGGGTAAATCATTGCTATTTTATATTTTTATTTTTTAATTGCACATTGTTTTTGATTTTGTCAACTTCACTGTATAGTAGGGTCAGTTGGGCACCATGCATGAGAAAAAGAGCACCATGACACAATTCACTCAGCCAGAAATTTGGAAACGGCATGCTGTATTGCTTGGCATTTGCACTGGAAGCTCTAACACAAACATTTCAGAGTGTTTGGGTGTCAATCTGAGGTCAGTGCAGAGGATTTGGAAAGAATTGGATGAGTCTAATGGTGATTATGAAGTTATGGTAGCTCGAAAAACTCACTCTGATCATTCTAATAAAAAGAAGAACTCCTGAATTTGTTGATGAGGACCTCAGACTTGAGACAAAGGCCTACACAAAGTGTTGATGAGATAGTGCTGCCCTGGAACAAGAGGGTGGCTGCTGGAAGACCCTATGTCTGGCAAAGGGACTCTGCACCATACCACACAAGCAGGAGAACCAGTCATGGCTGTCAGACAATTTCTGCAACTACATCACCCCTTACATCCCCAGACTGCAACCCCCTTGATTATTATGTGTGAGGTGCAGTTGAATGAGAGACCAGAAAGCTCCTTGTAACGCCAAAGATGAACTGAAGGCAAGAAGAGTTGCAGGAGATTCCTAATCCGTCTGGAGGCTGTGATTGAAGGCAATGGCAATTTTATTGAATAAATTTACTCTCTAGTACTTTAAGATATTCTTGTGCAATTTTGGTAAATATATCTGTTAAAATGAGATGTCAGTGTTATTTTCATTTTTGCATAATTTAGACGACAATCTATCTATTGTACACTGTATAGGTACATATATTCATATATGTATTTATTTGTATGTGAACACTTACACATACATTTATTTATATTTATTCATTTGATTATATTTACACACACACACACACACATATATATATATATATATATATATATATATATATATATATATAGTTATATGTATGGTTGTTAGCAAAATGAACAGCCAAATATTCAAATTTGTCCAAAATAAATCTTTAAAATCAGCATTTGTGACTTTGCACATAGCCTGAATTGTTAATGGTTTAACCACAAAAGCAAAAAATTTTTTTTGGCCAAACACAATTATTTATCTTAGTCATCAAAACCCTGCTGATGATATTGGAAAATATTCAAAGTACTAGGGAAAAATAAAAATGAATAAATATAATTCAGTACCTTTCTTGCTGTCATGGAACAAGAAAGCTTATATGTGATTACAAAAGGATTTTATTAAAAATAAATAAACACAATTTGTCTAAATTATTTAATCAGACATGTTTAAATACACTGGCAAAATATACAGAATATATATATATATATATATATATATATATAAAATACATTTTTACGGAGAGCACATGTACTGAACTCTGTTCCTGGGAAGCATTCACAGATACTGCACTGATGTTTGACAAATATACCAGTCTATACTCAAATAATATACATCATTTTTGACAGGTACTGATGAAAATAAATGGAAAATGAAGTGGAGGTTGTACCAGGATTCATTATTGGCAGCAACAATCTAACCAACATTTGATATACAGATAAGACAGAAAGGAAACTACAGCAACTCCTACAGAAGGTAGTAAAGAAAAGCTAGAAATAAAGACTAAATATCAACAGTAAGAAGAGAAAATGTATGGCTGTCATCAAATGGAACAGCCTAACATGTGAATTACAAATTGGAGACACCAAAATCAAGCAAGAACAAAAATGTTAATCATTAGGAAGTGTTTTAAAAGAGGACAGAAAATGCAACACTGAAATCTGAAGGCACATTGATTTAGCAAAGGTTGCCTTCCAAAAGCTAAGTAAAGTATTAAGAAACAGGAAAAATTTGTTAGAAACAAAGAGTACTGAACTGTTACATATTTGTCATCCTATATGGCAGTGAATGCTGGACAATCTCCTCACAGATGAAGAAACTTGAGGCAACAGAAATGTTGCTCTACAAGCGGATGCTGTACTATGACTACAAATTTAAGTGCAGTAGCTAGGTCATGGTACTTTCAGCATCCTTCTGTAGAACCACATTTCTAAACTCTTCTAATAAAATCTAATAAAAAACACAGGATGAATTCTTTAACCAACCAAAATTCTGAGAATACCATGGACTGAACATATGAACAACAAAAAGTTTTAGAGAAAATGGAAGCAAAAAATAAATTGGAAGGTATCAGTAAAGTATCCTCTTGGGAGTTGGTTCCACAAAGTAACAGTTTTGGGGAAGATGATGTTTGAGTGGAACCTACTCCTTACCAAAGAAACACGAAGGGAATGGAGATGATTTGCTGCCATTTGCATGTCCTAACTCTGAACTGGAAGAAATAAGAAATGTAACTCGTCCGAACATCTGCCATAATGCAATAGAGCAGTGGGACACTAGCAACATTTCACCTGTGGAATAAGGGGTGTTTGTGGGGGATGGGATAATGATTAATCATCCACAAGGCCGCATAATTGCACTCAAACTCTATAAAAGCTGGACTGTGAGGAGTGGGCAGCACCAGTCCAGACATAGCAGCAATACTCTATTCTTGTTCTGATCTGATTTTTGTAAAGAGATAGTGTATGACAGGAGGAGAAAAAAATATTTTCTGGGGTGATTCAATGAACCAGCCTTTCATTCAGCATCTTTTACAATGGTACAAAGAGATACATTCCATTTGAGATCTGGGGGTGAGCTTTAGATCCAGCAGTTGATAATGTAATAAGTGTATGTAAGCGCATTATTCTACATAAGCACAGAGGAAAATTATGAAATTATTTGAAATTTTGTAAGGTAATGGAAGCAAAAAGGACACTTATACTTAACATCAGGAAGAGGCAGTTGAAATTTCTGGAGCAAATAATGAGGAAAGA